CGTTTAATGAACTTCAAAGTAATAAATAATTAAACTTTAAGTGTGTGTCTATGAGAAAAAATTACTGGTTATAAATCATTATAAGAATAGGCTGATCGCAATTTTACAACTTATGTCTAACTACACGCTGTGCATAACACCGTTCTAACTACATTTTACTTATAGCACTCTCTGTACAGTGTCTGATCGTATGCTAAATGTCACTTTGATCAGAAGTTCTCAACCTATAAATGGAGGCCTTTCAATCAGCTAACAAACTTAAAACTAATCGCCTTCCGGTTATTGTCATATTCTGTTATTGGACGAAAGGCCTCGTCGGCACTGAATATGACAATTGTAGTATGGTTGACACAACATAGTCTTCTTTGTTTTCACTCATTGAGTTCTAAGAATTAACCGCCTTTCGTTTAGCTAAAAAGGACAAACTTAAATATATTTTGTTTTCACAGTTGGTTGCATACGCGATCATCTAAGTACAATTATTAATTAGTAACTAATTTTTTTTAATTGAATCTCGGCCACTATCAACAAAGAGTCCTACCCATAATTTATCTGAAGATGGTAGCAGATTAACAGCCAAAACGAAGGATAAAACTGATCAATAATTAGTATGTAGTTATTGAAAAAGTTGTTTATTAATGATTAGGCTCAGGTGATTATATTAAAAATGACTGACATCCGATCGCTACAATCTTACAGTAAGTATTTAATCATCTTTCTGTCAGCTAATAAGTCGAAACTTATTATTTGGTTTCAATACAAACCAGAAAGTGTAACGGTCAAACATTATTATCAGCCTTGCAATAATATCATCTTAATGTGAAGCTTTTAACTCCTCATATTATATTAATTTGATGATATTTTATAGTGATATATTTACTACTCTACTTTATGACATATTCAAACAAAAAACATTTAATGTTCCATACTTAGCAAACAGAAGTAACATGTAATAGTATGGGAACTTGCTGTATTTTACCTATTGCAATTTCTACGTCAAAGATACATTTCTATTTAAACGTAAATATATACACATGCGTGTGGATTTCCACGTGGACCGGGCGTCATCTAGTGGTTAGCGTGTCAGACTGTGGGTTCATGGTTCGCATCCCGTTTCCACAAAATTGCGTTCGGCACTTTGGGGCTGTGGGTTCGTTCTGAGAATAAGGGTCAGATCCTATTAGCGTTGACTAACTTTTTCCTTCTAGTCTATTAGTTCAAATATTAGCGACGACTAGCATAGATCGCCCTTGTGTATATCCGTAAACAAACAAGCAAATGTATAATCAAAGTGGAACATATAATACGTAGGAAAATTTATATTCAGAGTTATAATCGAAGTTCTCTATAATTTTATAAAGACTTTTGTTTATTTCTGTATACGAGTCCATATTGAGTTTTGAAGCATGAATACGAATACAAAGGATAACACAAAGATGGCTGGATAACAAAAACCAGCATTAGTCCAATAATTCTTATAATTTATTTGTTAATATATTTTTTCATCAATAAGTGAGTGCTAGTGAAGGAAAGATGTGCAACTAAAAATATACACGCATATTTTAACACCGATTATTACAGAAATATAACTAGATACTGTATTTCTTTTTTTCGGATAAAATGTGGAGCGTAGTGTTTGATTGGTGAGACAGACGTTTGATAGTATGATCGGATACAAACTTCTATCGAACTGGCAACTATTAGGTCGTTTTTTGTTTTTTCCCATCTGCCCACTAAAGAGAACCAGACCATTCATGCCTGCGCTATGGGAAGGAGGAAGGTCATCCATTTCTGGGAGAAGACAAGAACCCACACAAGACTAGAAGGATTACTGTTAAAAGCTGCTACAACTTTGCTCTTTCTGGTAGAATAACATGCAGCAGGTGTCCACAAACACGCTCCTGGGGCTTACCACAAAGCTAGGTGGATGGCTGGCTAAGCTGATATATTGCCTCAAGTCCTACTTGTTCCACTCTCAATTCCACCTCACCGCTCGTAAACTCTCGGGACTTTGTGGATTAATGCCTTCGTGATCCGGCTGTACCTGAAGGCATGTTACACCTGTCAGTGTCCCGCACAAGCCCCACGGAATAAGATGAAGCTGCTAAAGGAGCATACAGAGAAAACAAATAAATCTGCTGCCAATGCAGCAATCGAGAGTTTCTCAGGCCACATGTGGCATTTGAGCGAAACGGACGGACTTTTTTATTCAAGGTCCTCGCAGATATGACATTACTAATGGTGACAGCCCTGAAGAAGGAAAAACTAGACAATCCTCTCTAGGATATCCAACTTGACGAAAAGCTTGTGCCAGAAAACCAATTCTCCGACTTCGTAATAGTTAACACAAACAAGTTCTTTGTTGTTCTTGATATCTTTCAGGACTTTCTTAATCAAGATCCCAGTAAATGTAAGAAAGCAACATCTCATTACGGCTCGGAGTAAAACAAGGTCGTTTAATGACATAGCCGTTCAACGCGACCATATGCAACTAGGAAGAACAAAAGCAGTTCCTTCTTCAAGTGGTGGAGAAGCATTTAAGGAACAACCGAACCCTAAGAGGTCCACCACCATTGTCCAACAAATTCACAAAAAGTGGTCTTTATCTTGATCCTGTTGTTTTGTATGTGTAGTTATAAATACTGTCTTTAAAACTGCAGTGCTTTAGTTTCTCAAGCAAGTGAATAAAACCAGGAAATGAGAAGTTCTAAACAAGAAACTTGATTCTTGAGTGACACCCTAATACACGTGCACATGTTCACACCGATTAAACATACAGGGGTTGGACAAAATAATGGAAACACCTTGGAAAATCAACAAAATATATTTTAATATGGTGTAGGTCC